TTTTTTTTTTTTTTTTATCATTTTTTCTTTCTTGCTCCATGTGTGGATTTTATTAAGGTTCCATGAATGATTAGTCAGCCTGTTCCACAACCAATACTTTATACATTATGCATGGCTTTGAAAGTTCACATATCTACCATTATTAGATGTTTTTAACTCTAGCATTATAACAAGTTAATTCTATTGTTGTCATTCAGTATGACCAAATTTCTTGTTTTATAGTGTAGAATTCTTCAGGAAACCTCTTTATCATACATTTAGATTGAAATCCCACTCTGGAAACCCTAGTTAGAAAATGCCCTCTCTTCTTTTCCAGGCTCAATACGAGGGGAAGAAATGAACTTCTTTTTGCTCTTTTTCCCTATGTCTCTATCATTTTTTCCCACTTATATTGCTGATAATTAAATTTGTGAACTACCAAATGAAGATTACACTATCAATTTCTATTGGACTCTTGAGAAATGAATAACACTTTTTGTCCTGCTGTATTCTCCCTCCATCCAAACTAACTGTCCTCTTGATGAGATTCAAATTTTTACGAGGAATAATCAAATATTTTGTACAAAGTTTTCATTGAAGAGTCCCTTTGGATATGGCTGCCATTCTTTGTTGTAGATAATGCATAGTCTTCTAAATTTTACTATGTTTGTGACTAGCAATAAGTGAGAAGAATTTATTTTACTGTCCTACTAAAAAAATGTTTTTTTAATATAGTACGGTTTTATTATAGAAGGAAAGTAAGAACAAAATATAATGTCTAGGACAAGATGTCCTTGAAGAAAAGCAAAAACAAACCATATGAAAGAGAAGACACTAAATGAAAAGAGAAGAAATTGAAGGAGATCCACCTTTCAGTTCTGTTGAAGGTACGATAAAGGCAACCCTTTAAAGTTTAAAACTTTCCGCGGCTTTGGTCCAAAGTGAAGCTATGAACGCAATTCTTTCTCATACTAATTTAATTCTTGCAAATTCTTGTATTTCCTTCTATCCAAAGACACCAAAGAAGAGCCATCAATGAACAATTCTAGAGTGCTTTTGGTTCTTTTTTCTTCCTAAATCCATAATTTAATCTGCAATAGCTTCTCCTGCACTGTAGGGCAAACACAAACCTAACTTGTCACATTGAATAAATTATTTCATAAACCCTATTGCTCAAATAAGTAGGACAAATATCAGGGCTCAATCTTTTGTAGGGCTTCTTCACATGCAACAAATCGTTAGTGTTCACTTTGTTAAGGACAATAGACCAAACAAAAGCCTTCCTTGTCGTCGTCCCTGTTAATACGCCAAACAAATGCCTCGATTTTTTGGGGAATGTTAGCTTTTCAAATAGATTTGGCTATGTAAGTTTTGGGAGCTAACAAAATGCAACTTAAAAGATCAACTAAAGAAAATAGTAGATTTATCCACTATCTAAATTCTATAATCATGAGAAGAACAAGGATAAAAATTATGGATAGTGTCGAGTGAAGAAGCTAAATCTAGAAGTTCTCGATCATAGAGAAGTTTAAAGAAATTAAAATCCAAAGTATAGGTGTTCGCCTTCAAAACAAGAAAGGAATATATAGGGAGGATACCCAACAAAAATCAAGAAAAATGTTATGAAATGCTGAATACCCTCTCAATATATAACTTTAGATCCTTTCCCCCTTTATAATGAGCCTAAGGAAGATAAAAGGACAAACCTGCGAATAGAACTGCCAAGGACTCATCTGGGATACATTATGCCCTGTTTGGTTATCGCACCCAGGTTATCGCACCCATTCTTCTAGAGATCAATCTTTATCCTAATTATCTTATGCAAAAAAGAAGTTTGCTCGTAATGGAAGTTTCTATAACTATTTACCTACAGACCTACCACATAAATATTTTAAGACACTAAATCACCGAGTCTTGAACCCGCTTCATCTGTAGGCTTACAGACTGCCTCTTAACTTAGTAAATTGTCCCACTTATCATCTCTAATCTTAAACAGAGAAAATTCCTTATTATCTTCTCCAATTTTTTAGCAACATCTATAAGGATTCTAAACAAGACCATTAATATAAGACAATGCTAGGCAAACAAGGTTTTAGGAATGTGATCCTTCTTCTAGGTGAAAGTATCCCTTTTTTTGACCAACCAATCTTTTGCTCATCCTCTCGACAATCGGTTTTCAAAAGGACAATGATCTCAGGTTACTCCATGTACAACATAGCCTGTATCTAAAGTAAACTCTTTGACAACCTCATCCTCCAAATTTATACTTATAACTCCACTTTTGGGCATATTAATTTTAAGGATAAATTGCATAAATGATACCTGAGGTGTGCCAATCTTCACAATTTGGTCCGTAAAATTTTAATTTCGTCAATTTCGCCCCCATAGTTCACACATTGAACCCATGTGCTCCTTGACACTAATTGTCATTATAAAAATTGACGAAAAATACCATGTGCCCATCACGTGCAAATTTTTAGGGGCATTTCTGGTATTTTACAAACTCAACTAAGGGCAAAACTTTAAAGAAAGAAACCAGCCCATTTCTCCCAATTCTTCCCTTACCCCAACCTCAGAAAAGTCACCTTACATCTGACACTGCAACCCCCTATCAGAACCATGGACTATCACAACCTTCATTACCACTCTACCGGCAAAAATCCATTCTCCTCCACCTCCACCTCCACCTCCACCTCCACCACAAGGCAACCGAATTAGGTACCCAACCACTTCTCCCTCCTTCTTCTCTGTCAACTGTAAGGTTCCACCACCATCTGCACCACCACACATGCCTGCAATACATCACGGCCACCTCCATGAAGATGCCACAAACACAAAATGTTTAGTAACCACAAAAATTCCAGAGAAAAAAATCAAAAGAATTTCATAGGGAGAAACAAACTTAGAGAGAAATTCAAAACCAATTCTGCTTTGGGGATGTGACAGTGGAGTTTGAATGGTGAGCAATTCCAAGGCAGCTTTGATGTCGATGGAGGTCCAAAATAATTAGTCGGTGCACTCGGCGGCAGCAGTACCACTCAACTCCACGTTTATCTTTCTCCCACCAGATAAAATACACCAAAAATTAAACCCAATAGTAGAACTCCACGTCTATCTTTCTGCAATAGTAGAACTCGCTGTACAAAACGTAACACCACTTGTGGCAACACTGCCATCCAATCTTATACCTCTCTTCCAAATTTTTTCCCCAATTACACAATTTCAAATTGTAAACATAGCCAACAAACTTATTAACAAATTGAGTAAATGTGTTTTTGTTTGGTTTGTAATGGTGGCAAAGAACCACTGTTTGCTTTGTTCCAGTGAGTTTTGTAGGTGCTTATGGTTTATTAATGATTGTGGGCATCGGTGATTATAAGCATACTAGTAAATGGTTGTGGGCAAGAGTTGGCAAGAGTTGGGGATATTGTTTGTGTCTGACACTGAGAGTCTAAGATAGAGAATGAATGAGCTGTTTAGATGATGGATGGCAGAAATTGAGAGTATTGTGTATGATGGATAGCAGCAGTGGGTTCTTACATTGAGAGAGAGAGAGAGAGAGAGAGAGAGAGAGAGAGTTTATTTTTTGGGGGATTTCTGGAGGAAAAAGGTCTTGTTGGAAGGGTGGTCGTTGGTGCTGGCCACCAGTTTCCATGAGGGATTTTCGAGGGTATGGTGGCCGTCGTTGGATGCTGTTAGTCTTTTGGGGGTTGAGGAGGGTGAGGAAGACGAAGAGGGAGTGGTGAATGCACTTTTTCCATTGTTGTATTTGTAAAATACCAGAAAGGCCACTAAAAATCTGCACGTGATGGACATATGGTATTTTTTGCCATTTTTTTGTAATGACAGTTAGATCTAAGGATAGCATGGGCTCAATGTTTGAACTTTGGGGACAAAATTGACGAAATTATAACTTTAAGGACCAAAATTCGATGAGTGGCAAACCTCAAGGACCAGTTGTGCAATTTACCCTAATTTTAAAACATGAGAGTATCCACTTTCTCCATCTCTTTGCAAAACACTCTTTTTTAACATTACATTCACAAAATTTCAATTAACCTGATCACACACTTTTTTTGAAAAATCCAGTTTAAACACAACTCCTTTGTTCTCTCTTCTCTGGTCATCCTCCACCACTTCATTCGCTACTAGATTTGTATCTAAAATTTATCTTCCTTGAATGAAAGAACTCTAATCTATAGTTACCTCATCTCCCAAAGCATTTTAAGTCTTCTAGATAGCACTTTAATGATAGTTTTATGCGGACTAGTCACAAAAGCTAATAGGGCTATAATCCTTAACTGTAATTGAGCATTTTTTTCTTAGTGACCAATATAATAAAGAACTAATACTTCTCCCCACATCTCCATTAGCATAAATAAAAAACTATTACTTCAGACAATACACGAATAATATCACCCTTAGTAGTCTCCCAATTATTCTTATGTTAAACCATAGTGAAACCATTAGGAGCTGGGCCTTTTCCTTATCCCTGTCAAACACAACTCTTCTAATCTTCTCCTCCTCCTCATCAAATGGTCTCTCAAGCTAGCTCTCTCTATCTCTCATGCGATATAGATTCCAATCAACACCTTCAATAGTTGGCCTAAAAGAAACATACTCAGTTTATATAGCTTTGTAGAATTAATTTTCTTGGTAATCAACAAATGATTTTCACACGATTCAGTTTCTAGTTGTCTAATGACACTTTTTCGTCATACCTGTCATTCTATGGAAAAACTTAGTATTGCAATCACCTTCTTTAACCCATTGAAATATAGTGATCTGTCTCAATTCTCAAACAAAGTATTGATATACCATGTTAGAGCATCCAACCCAAAATCATTTGGCAGTGGGTGAACTAGCTCATCAAGTATATAAATCAACCTTGAGTCTACTTAATTTTTCGATGTGAGAAAGCTCTCTTCACACCCTCCCTTACATGCGACTTGGACTCGCACGTGGGCTAACAAACTAAACTAAAATAGACGGACAAACAGATTGGAGCTTAGTTGAAATAGACAGACAAACAGACCGGGTAATTCAAGCCGGTGGTCTTGCATATTTAGAGCAGAAGGTCTTGCTGGGGCTGCCAATCATCCAATGCCTAACTTTGAGTCCACATTAGAGCAGAAAGTCTTGCATATTTAGCTCATATTCTAGTCTGCACACGCAAGAGCATGTTGAAGCATATATATAGTTATATACTCTAATGACTTAAGCCTTTAGATGAATGTGGGATTTAACTATATGTTTTAGATCTTATGGGATGGACAACATATATTGCAATCACCAATTATAGAATAATAAACATGTAGGAGAATGCTGCCTACACAGTATCCTTCCTCTATAATCATATTCAAACAAGACCTTGATATAATTATCAGGGTTTTTTCTAGTTCTAGTTGCACATGCTTTGAAATACGGTGCTGTCCTAGGGTTCTCTGAATATATTGTCTTTGGTTTTTGGGACTATGTGAAGTGTGACTGTGATTTGCACACATTTCTATAGGTTTTTCTCCTTTGGATTCTCTTTAACACATTAAGCAGCACCCATGTCAAACACTTGGCACCTAGGTAATTGTGTGGGATGTGTGTTCAAAATTTCCTACTTGATATGCACCTAACCGGCTTATCCAACAACTGTGTTTTTATATAGTTACATGTAAACTTTAGTGATTTGTTCCTTTTTTTAGAATTTATTTAACATAAGCGAAGTGCCCATTTTGAACTCTATTTCCATAAACAACCGTTGTATCAATAATACATAGATAAAAATATTAAAGAATACCGATATATTTACAGGATATATCTGAGAAAGTAGATTCTTCTAGTCACTGAGATATATTAAACTGCTGCAGGGTTCAATTCCACATTAAGGCAGGGTAACATTACACACCACGAATACATTCAGGTTAGTTATGGTTACACCTGTGTTTCTGGTGAAGCGTGAATCTTCTTGTTGATGTCTTGATAGCCTATTCCTTGATGCAGGTTGGAAAGGGAAGAGATGTTGGGTTAAACCAAATTGCTTTATTCGAAGGTAAAGTGGCTGGAGGAAATGGGGAGCAAGTTCTGAGCAGGGATGTATACAGGCTTGGACAACTTCTTGACTTCTTTAGAATGCTCTCTTTCTACTTCACCACCGTTGGTTACTATGTTTGCACAATGGTATGGCATCTTTTTTTTTTTTCCCTTTTAACTTGTTCCCTTTTCTCAAATGAATTTGATTTCTTTTGGGTAGAGCTATTGTGTAGAATTTCTAATGAGAGTTTGGTTTTTAAATGCAGATGACGGTTATTACGGTATACATTTTCTTATACGGAAGAGCTTATCTGGTAATGTGGAATGCTTTAATTTTGAATTATTGCTACTTTGTATGGAATGTCTCTCCTTGTTTCTTGTTTTTTGACTTGTCATTTTGTCACTTGGGGTATATGATCCTCTTCCATATGGTACATCAAAATAATTTTTGTTACAAACAATCTATTGCATCAATGTTGTTAAACTGCCTAGGTAGGCTTGACATATTTGGGGAGTTGACCTTGCAAAATAAGATATATGTATGCTTGTCACATCAAATCACACTGATCAGACTTCCAACTGATCTTGCATCCGCCATGAGATAATTTTGTTTATAGGACTGCCTTGTTCTAGAGCCACAGAGTTGAGCAGTATATTGACACCTCTATATTTTCCAACTTGTGTATCTTTCAGAAAACTTCAGAGTTGAGCCTTTAGATATCTTACAGATTGTGACCACTTCCTCTTCCCATCTTCACCTGTCCCACTCTGGCTGCCCAAAATTTTTTTTTTTTTTGACGGTCCTAGGAAGTACATGTTTCCATAAGGTTTCTAGCTAGGATAAATGTTCTTTTGATGAAAAAGAGAATTTAAGAATGTGTCCACTAATTTACTAAATTAAAGTTTCTAAAGAAATTAAAATTTGAGTCTTCTAATTTGTGCATTTGTGAAAAGTTGTTTCCAATCACATTGTGAAGTTTAATAAATTGTTCAACAATATAAATTTTGCAGCCATTTACCGGCCTAGTTGATGTACACGTGGATAAGAATCAAAATTTTATTTTGAAATGGTCGAAACGTCTGAAACGTTTCTGTTTTTAAGGAGATCGAAACGAATCAGTAATAAATTCAAAATTCTAATATTTTGAGGTGTTTCATAATGTTTGTAAGTGTTTTGTAATGTTTCAATATAGTTGCACAATTATTTCAGAATGTTTTAAGATATTTCAAGATATTTTGATATAATTCGACCAATGTTTTGGAAAAATAATTTTTAAAATTTTTAATTTTTTTCAATCTGTTTTCGAAATATGTCGAAATATTTTCGAAACACGTTGAAACGTTTTGTTTCTTAGGTGACTGAAACAATGTACCAAATTGAAATTTTGATCCTTGCATGGGATCATTTTGAGAAAGGGTCTAAAATTTATAGGATATATGGTGAAATAAAGGGTAATTAAAGAAATAAACCCATAGAAGAAACTCTTTTTAAAAAAAACAATTGCCAAGAAGGAAGCCACGACAGATTTGGTGCTGCAATGGAGGCAATCAAAGCACTGCCCATTTGGGAGAGGGAGAATGGGATTAGAGGAAAAGAAAGGGGCAGCTGATAAAAGCTTAGAGTGGGAGCCAACCGAGTTATGTAGATGTTCCATGTGTGTATACTTAATCCAATGAATCTATTACTTAGTATCTTAATTTCATAAGACAACTTAAATGATGTCGGGCGTTATGTTTGATTTTGTAATATTTGTCAAGGATAAAATTTGCAATACGAAATTTTCTTTAAGACTACTAGGAAGATCAAAGGCAAGGGATTTTTAGGATTGGCTTTATAATATTGATTAAGGATAAAACTTACTATCTAAGAGTACACAACAACACAACTTCCAAGAGTTTGCACTAGCTTCTACACGATGCATTCCAACTCACTTTAATACTAAAAAAAGGGACACTCTCAAAGTCCTTTGTGATCAAATCCCAAAATAAAGTTAAGAAATATGCACAATCCCACAATCCCTCACACCACTTCCTTTTATTTTCAAAGATCCTCGAATTCCTTGCTAATCAATAATCTAAACAATGCCTAGGAAAACACATTGCCAAAGAGTACAACCCTCACCCTTCTCCCTCCACCTAAACCATTGAAATCCAAGCTAAACATGGATGAAGAAGATTGTCGGGCTACCCAACAATACCTTATCAACTCTCCCAATTTGTTCCATAAAAATAAAGCAATAGTATAATGGAAGAATAAATAGTCCACACTTTTACAATTTTCTCTACACATGACGCATCATTAAGGGCAAACGCTAGTATAAGGCCTCCTTCTTTGGACCGCATCAAGAGTATTTAACTATTTATCTTACCTTGAACAATTACCCATGCACATACTTGCACTTTCAAGTGCACCTTATCTTTCCAAATCTTTAGTGATTGGTTTTGAACTTAAGTTTTTATTTGTCTTGTATGCAAATAACAACAAAAAGCAAATAAAAGTGTATGTGGACAGAATTTGTCCACAATAATGCATGTGGTAGCCTTGCCTCAGTAGATGGAATGGAACTGAGAAACGAGAATTGGCTTTATTGAAAACTCTTTCAAGCAAGCCAAGATGGATGGAGAAAAAGAGACGACAAAAGATTAAGCAATTTGAGGGAGGGATAATGGCATGGATGGAGAAAAAAATATAGCTGGTAGAAGAGATGGGCTAACCTAAGTTATGTGTACATGTGTGTCTATAGTCACTAAAACAATCCAATAATAATTAATAAACATAAGTTAATGTACTGATCAACTTAATATAAGAGGGGCTAACCTAAGTTATGTGTACATGTTGTGTGTCTATAGTCACCACAACAATCCAATAATAATTAATAAACATAAGTTAATATACTGATCAACTTAATATCAAGATAGGAGAAAATGATGTAGTAGATAAAATTGACCAAGTATAAAATTAGAAATAGAAAATTTTTTATGGATAAGTGGTGTTCATAAAAAAAAAATATAGAGAGACAGATAAATGAACTTGAAAAAAATAAGTTCTCAAAAAAAAATGAACTTGACAAAAATGACAAATTTGAATTAAAAGAATCTAAATCCAGTTTGTTATTGCAAATAATTAGTTTATATAGGATTGCCTTTAATGTGGGTTGCCAAATGGCCACATTGTTTGTCCTAACGAAAAGGAAGTGATGCAATTAGGAATATATCAGATTTATAATTTTTTTATGTTTAAAATTTTAACATGTTTTCCTCTTTTTCTGGAATTTAACTAATTAATTCTTAGTATATATTGGTATTCCAATCCAGAATTAAGATTTTGATGTTGAATGAGATCTCAACATAAGGTGCACGTTGTGTTGGGCTAACCCAAAGCAAACCCATCCCCTTTCAACCCATTTATTTAAATGATTGAAGTATGTATGACCATATTTAAGGCCAGGTCTTGAGTTAGTTTTCAATATAATGGACTTATTGATATCTTTTATTTGAGCCATTTGAAAGGCTGTGGAAATTTTTGTGTAAGAGAAAGTTGTTTACTAATCTGAAAAGAGAAGAAAAGAAAAGATAAAATAGTTGGACTCATGGATTACAAGGAAAGGATATACATGGAAGGGTTTTGGAGCAGTCGAGAGTAATATTGTATTAATAAAGTTTTTGAAGGGTGCTGTGTATTTTATTGAAAGAGGAATGCCATGGTTTTCTATATATTTTCTTTATGTATTTCTTAAAGGTAATAAGGTAATTTAAAAGCTTCATAGATAGTGACATATGATATTTCATGACCCTAGCTTTGTACAGAATTTTTTTTTTTTTTTTTTTTTGGGGGGAAAAACAAGAATAGAACACCCATTCCACAAAACCCCAACATGGCAAGCCACCCAATGACAACTTGCAGCCCTTCACATGCAATGAACTCTTTGACTGCTTGTATATTTATTTTCGTGTTTTGCATGGACATGTGAATATAAATGCTATTGTTACTGTAAATGATAGTGGTCTCTTTTTGAATTTTGAAATTATTCTTATTGTTGTTATTATAATTGCAATTACAATTACAATTACCAAACTATTACAAAAGTGAGTTTATAAAATTAATCAGCGGAAAAATTGAAAAATAAAAGGGGTGATTAATAGTAACTTTAAATTACTGTTGGAGGATAAAAAGGAAAACCAAAAGTTTTATTGGTTAAGGGACTTCTATTAGAAGTATAGAGTACCAATTATAATGTTAAGACACTAGTAAAACGTTCAAAAGTAAAATCAAAGAGGTGGAATGTTATGCCTTCGAGGAAGAAAATATTATTTCAAAGTATCAAATTGCATAGTTAAAAAGAATAAACAAATAGTATGGGCCTTTTGAGTATTTAATCACTGATGATCCTATGATTCAGGGTAGTTAGATTCTCACAGCTATTTTTTAGTTAATAATTTTTGTTCGTGAGCATTTGGCATTTCCCTTCCTGATCCTGGTCAATTGGCTACTTTTGCCTGAGTAGATGTGCATCTATGCTTTTAGAATAGTTGACAAGTTTAGTATTTCACTCTTGTCACTTGTCATGTTAGTATCATAATAAGAAGGCAGAACCAACTGTAGTGCATCTTAAATGCCTAATTTTGCATCCATGTAAAGCTTCCTTTTACACCCCCCCCCCCTTCTTTTTCCTACGGCTGGTGTGTCTATGACCTCTCCAGGATTGTGCTTTTCTTCAATGCTCCACTTAAGGCAATTCCTCAGATACCAACCTTTTAAATCTTTCAGGCTTTCTCTGGACTGGATCGAGGAATTTCAGAGGCAGCTACAATTATGGGTAACACTTCATTGAATGCAGTGCTAAATGCTCAATTCTTGTTCCAAATTGGAGTTTTCACGGCAGTGCCAATGATAGTGGGCTTTATACTTGAAATGGGATTACTGAAGGTTAGTACATTTGATCATATCAGTCATGCTGAGATTCTTTGCCTACAAGTGTGCAATACTTAAATTCTAAGTTCGGGGGTTTTGTGGCTTATGGTTGCTTATATTATACTTTTTTCATGACCCATTTTTATCATATATATTATTGCATGTTTGCAGGCTGTGTTCAGTTTTATTACAATGCAGCTTCAGCTGTGTTCTGTATTTTTCACATTCTCGTTAGGAACAAGAACTCATTATTTTGGACGCACTATCCTCCATGGAGGTGCAAAGGTATCTAAATGTTTTCTGGTCTATGCAATGATGAAGCTTATAATTTTATTTTTATTTTTTTTCTGTTTGGGGACTAATGCGCTTTAAAATATCACTACAGTACCGAGCAACTGGTAGAGGCTTTGTTGTCCGTCACATCAAATTTGCTGACAATTACAGGCTTTACTCAAGAAGTCATTTTGTCAAGGCGTGAGTGATATTTGCTCGGACTTGAGACTTTGCTAATGTTTGGGGTTGGATTTTATGAAAGACATATATTTGATCAAGATCTCAAACCTTATTTTTTTGGCAGGCTTGAAGTAGCACTACTATTAATAGTCTATATTGCATATGGTTACACAGAGGGAGGTGCCGTTTCTTATATTCTGCTAACCCTTAGCAGTTGGTTCCTTGTCATTTCATGGCTTTTTGCTCCTTACATCTTTAACCCTTCAGGTTTTGAGTGGCAAAAGTAAGTTTTATGTTGTTGGATTTGTTTTTGCTAGTTGACTATCTCCAATCTTTATGGCAGTATTTGTTTTCTCTGCAAATCTTGTTTCTTTTCTGTCACTGGTACATGTATTTCACCGTACCCTGGTATGAATAGGACTGTGGAGGATTTTGATGATTGGACCAGTTGGCTTATGTATAAAGGTGGAGTTGGGGTAAAGGGAGAGAGTAGTTGGGAATCTTGGTGGGATGAAGAACAGGTATGCTGATGCTACACAAATGAATTCTGTATTTTTTCAATGCTATTATATGTATCTGTTTCTACATTTTGTTTCCAATTTCCGTTCCAATGCGATAATTCTTGATGCATATTGTATTAAGGGTAACTTAGGGCATCTGCGGGCTCCGTGGAGGGCCAGTAGTAAGCATTCATACTTCCGCATGTGGAGAGACTGTATCCATGATATTTGCATGCATATATATATGTGTATTTAAATATTCTTCACTCCCTCAAATATTCAAGTTCCTTTTCTACCAAGTTGTGTGTTACATTTGACAACACTGTGCCTTCTCTTAGTTGGAACAATATTTTGCTCTTATTCGTTTCTCTAGGAGGGTGAGTGGCATGCTATAAGAGCCAGACCATTTCAGAAAACTTTGGTTTCTCCTTTTTCTTTTTTTAAACAATGATAAGGGAGCGAATTTGTGTACATGACATTTCACTAGGACCGGGACACAATTTTTTTAATGGTTTCATGTGAAAGTTATTTTTTCATTCTTTCTCATCATCAAAAGTATTGGTTTTATATGCGCAATTTCAAATTCTTCTCAGGACCTAATACTTGTGCGCTTAGGGCCAACCCTAGGCATTGACAACTAAGGCTCCAAAATGGATAGAAATATTTGAGGCCCCTAATTTTATTTTATTTTTGATCCTGTAAAAAAATTTTAGGCCCCCAATTTTAACTAGACTCAGTAATTTTGAATACAAGCTGGTAATGCCAACAGAAATCAACACAGATTAATAAGTTTGACTATAGCTTTAGTACACGTGGGTAATAAATGAGTGGACTTATTAGACCCCTCAAATAAACGGGTGAATATGAACTCGACTAAACACAACACAAATTTATTGAACATGAAATTTATATAGTACAAATTCAATTATACATGATTACAAATGTAGTGGATATGTGTCAAGCAAATTCTATCACAGTTACAAATGTAGCGGATATGTGTCAAGCAAATTCTATCACAGCATGACTGAATGACTGCACTGATATTACTTTTGTTTTGCAGAGTCGGTCTATCCTCACAAAACTTTTAGTGCATTAGAATCAAAGTTTTTTTCCTATCCATTATCTAATTTTTAAAAAATTATAATTTTTTCCTAACTTAAGTTCGAGGTCTTTGTTATGTGGATTGGATTTTTTGCTCAACCATTTTTTAACACACAAGAAGCACACAAAATGTTTAGAAAACATAGTGCGTAGGAGTAACTCACTATTCAAAATTCCTTCCGACATTCGTTTTTTGAAAATTAATTTTGATGCACTAATAAATTTTAATTCATTTTCTTTATATTGTTCACTGATAAGAGATTTAATTATATTTTGATCTTCAAATTCAACTTCAATTACTACAAAAACTGAATTATTATTTTTATATCTCAGAATAAAAAAAATAAATTTTAATTTTAAATAATTATTTAGTCATATTCATCTAATATCTCCACCTATGGCCCCCATTTGTTGGGTTGCCTCTGCTTATGCTTGACATTTGTGGAAGTTACTTGTTTTGGCAGTGAATTTTTTTTACTCATTGCTTGCTCTTTCCCACCTCTTCCTCTAAAAGGTTATTGTCTTCATTTTTCAGATGCATATCCAAACATTGAGAGGCCGAATACTTGAGACAATCCTAAGCCTGAGGTTTTTCCTATTTCAGTATGGCATTGTATACAAACTTCATCTTACTGGAAATGATACTTCTCTAGCGGTATTTACTTTTCCTTTAGTCGCTTTTTTAACTTGGTATATTCTCCTTTTTTCTTAAACTAGAACTAACACACACTGTGTCTGAACAAGGAGAGAGAGAAACAGCTAGTGACCTGTTTCTTTGTCTGGGGGAATAAACTGCTTATATGGAGTCTGATAGTTGGATACAGCAACTCAATTATGATCTTGTTTTATTTTCTTAATGTAGACCTCTTGCTTAACACACTAGACTAACAAGTTTAATTAATCATTCTATAAGCTTTATTTGATACACTTGGTGCTTTTATATAAACCCTTTTGTGATTTCTTGATGCATATCTGTTAAATAGATACTGAAGATTTGAATTAAAATGTCATGGGAATTTCTTTGATGCATAATCTATATGGTGGTTGAGCTAATATTGGAGTTTTTGTTGAAACCTCTTATTATTGAAAGCAGCTAGCCAATGATTTTATGATTTCCAACAGCCTTAGTTTTTCTTTTCTTTTTTTTGCCTCCCCAGGATAAAAGAATATCATCAAGTTTTTTTCTTCATGTTGTATACACAATTTCATGTGTGTTGAATTTTATGTTTATTCTGTTGATGATATGTTGTTTTTGTGTAGATCTATGGCTTCTCTTGGGTTGTATTAGTCGGAATAGTAATGATATTCAAGGTTTGTATTGGTTCTTGTTCAAGATTTTTTTCCTTTCTTTTCCTTGTGGTGTTGCTTATTTTCACTATTAATTTGTTTTTCTATGTTCGATCTTCTATGCCCCGGCAGACATTCACATATACCCCCAAAAAATCCACCAGCTTCCAGCTAATGATTCGATTCATGCAAGGAGTTACTGCCTTGGGACTTGTTGCTGCCGTTTGCCTTGTTGTTATCTTTACCAACTTAACAATTCCTGACTTGTTTGCAAGCATCCTTGCATTTATTCCTACTGGATGGGCCATTCTATGTGTAAGTTAATAGCATTATAGCATAGATGTCTTTACCATTGTTTTTTCCATAAATCCTTAGGTAATCATTTCTTTGACTTGTAAGAATATGAAGACTTTTTCTGGGGTGACATCAAAGACTACTGGTCGATAGTTGGGAAACAGGCGCAAAGAACTTGTTAATAATTAGGAGATTCTCATGCTTCTACATTCTGAAGTGTGGGGATTACCAACTTAAGAAGGACCATCTTTTATCCCTTAAATACGGTGCAGTATATGTTGCATATTTATTGTATCATTTTATTGGGCTTACAATTCTAATACTTGCAGTTTCAGTCACTATGCAATCCGCTACTCATGCATATCTGATATAGTCACTATCAAAATGTTTCTCGCATCAATTTAATTAATATAATTTTATGATTTTTTTCTTCTTTCTTTTTTGGCCTGATTTTACCTGTTGTGTGGAATAGAACCCACACACAATGTTGAAGGTCCATCTTGTCGATTGTCTGTAATTACCTTGCAAAAGACCATAGAATTACATGAAGTGTCACAAGGGGATGAGATTGTTTTATCAAACTTCTGCTTACATTTTGTTTTCTTTTGCTTATTTTATTTGTTTGCGTGCTTCCGTTCCTATCTAATGCCTTGGCCTTTTCATTATCTGATGCCACAGTTAGCAGTCACCTGGAAGGGGATCGTGAGGAGTTTGGGCTTGTGGGATTCAGTACGGGAGTTTGCCAGAATGTATGATGCTGGGATGGGCGTAATCATATTTTACCCAATAGTAGTACTGTCATGGTTCCCGTTTGTTTCCACCTTCCAATCCCGCCTACTGTTTAACCAAGCGTTCAGCCGTGGACTGGAGATATCCCTCATCCTCGCTGGGAACAAAGCTAATGTTGAGGCCTAATCCTCTTCTGTTTTGGGGGAAGGCAGTTTCAACCTGTCGAGCTGCAATTTTTTGTCAGCTTTGTATCATAGCTCTTCTTGTAATTTTATTTTTCCACTTGCTGGGATCAACATCGCAGGTACATGTATAGGTGATTTACGAAAATGCAGAAGACCTATACTTGGTCGTGTGAGGCTGTGAGCACTCGGTGGGGTTTATGAATTTGTTTGCTTTCTTAAATGAGGCTTGATTTTAAGTTTAGAATCAACATGGGTTTGTAAAACGAAGGGTGTGTACAACTGGGGTGAAGCCCCACTTTTTTGTTTGAAAAAAGGGAGAGATGAAATCGAGTTCTATACGTAATTCTAGACAAAGGAAAAAAAAAGAGTTCCTCAATGGTCTACTCATTTTGAGACATTATGGCTTTGGGGTTGGCCTAGGTAACGATGAAGGAATCCATAGAAACTTAGCATCCTGACACACCATGCTACATAGTTAAGTGTGTGTGTGTGGACTTAATTGCAAAACCAGAGTTCAAATGGTTCAATTTTACTTGATGGCAATGGCAGTCTTGCAGGAAAGAGTGGAAGATGGTAACCATTTACAAAAAGCAGGCATTCAATAGCATCTGTTAGATAACTGAGCATACGATATATTGTTTCAGTTACCGTCTTTTTACCCCCTGAATCTTGTTATTTTTTAACAATATTCCCTTGGAAGATTACCAGGAATGCGTTTCTCGAGAGTATGCTTGTCTATTATCTACCTTTCTCAGACCTTGCTATAGTCGGTAAAATCTCCTGCCCTTTTGTCTCTAGGACGTCTAACCCAAAAACACCCTTGATTTAAGTTATATCAGACTTTGAATTGATAATATTTGTATATATNTCCTGCCCTTTTGTCTCTAAGACGTCTAACCCAAAAACATCCTTGATTTAAGTTATATCAGACTTTGAATTGATAATATTTGTATATATTACGTGCATTGATTAGATATGAATTTTATGTAGTCAATGGGATTTGAACTCCCGTTGCTTGTTCCACTCCTTAACAGTTCATCTCGAGCATTTTATTATTTTTAGATTCATTTTTTTTTTTTACTTAATTGCTCTAGTCCTGTGAATCATGTATTTGATGTCCAATGNGGTAAAATCTCCTGCCCTTTTGTCTCTAGGACGTCTAACCCAAAAACACCCTTGATTTAAGTTATATCAGACTTTGAATTGATAATATTTGTATATATTACGTGCATTGATTAAATATGAATTTTATGTAGTCAATGGGATTTGAACTCCCGTTGCTTGTTCCACTCCTTAACAGTTCATCTCAAACATTTTATTATTTTTAGATTCATTTTTTTTTTTTTACTTAATTGCTCTAGTCCTGTGAATCATGTATTTGATGTCCAATGAAATAGCTTGTGTCAAAAGAACATTCATTAAATTAACCAGAGGAGCCAATGAGGAGGCAATTTGTGTTGCCATAGTGTCATCGGCAATATTAGTTTCTTTTTGAATGGATACAAATTGGATTAAAAGAATTTGTTGAGTATACCAATGAGAGTAATTTATATTTACAATTACAAGCATCAACACACGAATGTTCAGTGTTTCGTTTTTCTTTTTTGTTGCAAACTAGTAATAACTAATTTGAATACATACATAAATATACACATATATATAAATCTTAAAAAAAATTATAAAATTTGACAGAATTATCAAAATACAAACAAAATAACATAANGAGTAATTTATATTTACAATTACAAGCATCAACACAAGAATGTTCAGTGTTTCGTTTTTCTTTTTTGTTGCAAACTAGTAATAACTAATTTGAATACATACATAAATATACACATATATATAAATCTTAAAAAAAATTACAAAATTTGACAGAATTATCAAAATACAAACAAAATAACATAAGACGGAAAATTAAACCAAAAAATAATATTAACATGTTTCTCACTAGAAAATTTCATATTAAAAAAGTTCTAATGTGTATGCTGTATCAGATGAGATAGTGAAGTGAATGAAATTTTTAGTTGTGAAAAAATATAAAGTGAATTTATTTATTAAAAATGTGTGTATAGCATGTGTGATGAGTTTAATTATTACTGAGAGAGTATAAATAGGGTGAATATAAAAAAGGTTAAATTAATATTTTGATAATTATAAATTAAATAANTTGTATCAGATGAGATAGTGAATGAAATTTTTAGTTGTGAAAAAATATAAAGTGAATTTATTTATTAAAAATGTGTGTATAGCATGTGTGATGAGTTTAATTATTACTGAGAGAGTATAAATAGGGTGAATATAAAAAAGGTTAAATTAATATTTTGATAATTATAAATTAAATAAAATTAAAATAGATATTTATAGAATAGAAATAACCCGCCACCTCAAAAAGGGTTTGGAAATGCGCGTTGACGACGTGTGTCACCCACCGTATATAAAACTACATCAACCCATCGCTCCATTTTCATTTTCTTAATTATTCCCCCTCTCTCTCTCTTTCCAATTTTTGGCGTAAGGAGCTTCTGCGATCTTCCATACATGGCAACGGTACGTAATTGCTCCACCTTTTAATCTCATTTTGCTACATCGTATCTTTCCTCTTTGGGTTTTGTGTATATCTGTTCGTCTGATATTATGTACGATGTATCAGAAATGAAAATTATGGATTAGAGGGGCACAAAGGTTTGTTTTGGGTTTATTAACGTTCAATAGATTTCAATGGATTATGCGTCTTTTTTCTGTATAATTATGGATTAGTGGGAAAAAAGGCTTGTTTGGGTTTAATTTTGTATTCGGTTGTTTATTAATGTTCAATACATTTCAATGGTTTATGCGTCTTTGTCCTATTTTGTACAGGTAATAACATTAATAAGGATGTAGATGATTGTTTAGACATTATTTTGTTGTTTTTCATTTTGATTAAGGATATGATAGAAGCTGGACATATGGGAGGCTATTGTTACATGTTGGGACTTTTAGGCTTTTATGGGCGGGAGGTGTAGTTTTGTTTTATGTTTGGATTCTTAAGCTTTCTCTGATGATTTTTCCATCTTTTTGGACTAACCCCCTTGGAGGGGGTGGGTGTTCAATTTTCTTTTGTGCTAGCTATGGCTATTGGTGTTTCAAATTCTGCAAGAATGGGGGTGTGCTTCTTGTTGTCTTTTTCAGAATGTCTGAAGGTGGGGTTATGTGAGTTTGGTGGTATATGTTTATCTGGTGANATTCTCTGATGATTTTTCCATCTTTTTGGACTAACCCCCTTGGAGGGGGTGGGTGTTCAATTTTCTTTTGTGCTAGTTATGGCTATTGGTGTTTCAAATTCTGCAAGAATGGGGGTGTGCTTCTTGTTGTCTTTTTCAGAATGTCTGAAGGTGGGGTTATGTGAGTTTGGTGGTATATGTTTATCTGGTGATTGATCAAGGTTTTTGTGATGTATCGGTGTATGTCTCGTGTTTCATGTAAAGTTCAATACTCCTTCAATTCTTTGTAAATGTGTTGTGTTCTGGAGAATATCTGAGATGAAAATGTAATATATTTCTTCNTTTGTGATGTATCGGTGTATGTCTCGTGTTTCATGTAAAGTTCAATACTCCTTCAATTCGTTGTAAATGTGTTGTGTTCTGGAGAATATCTGAGATGAAAATGTAATATATTTCTTCTTTGTGCTGTTGAAGAGACAATGTCACCATGGCGCTTCTTAAGATGGTCTTATAGCTATTCTTGGAGTAATGTGGAAAGAGGAAGAGTGAAAGGAAGAGGGAAATGTAGTCCATTCACATTTGTTTTGGAAGACAAAAAACAGTCAAAAAAAAAAGAACACTCATTATGCCTCCTCCCTTTTCCCGTATCCTTCCTCGATTACGTGATTACTAGTTCCTCCACACGGCGATTGCTGTTATATTTGTTGCCAAGTCATACTTCCACCTATATCCGTAGTAATTTCACCATTTTATGCTATATCTCCACCAACGTATCCACCACACCATTGCCACTATTCGTATCAAATTCAAGCTTCTCTGTTTCCACCACCAGTCACAATGGCCACCAAATGTTTCTTGATTCTATGATTTTTGGAAAGTGCCAGACAGTTGATCATAANGTATCCACCACACCATTGCCACTATTCGTATCAAATTCAAGCTTCTCTGTTTCCACCACCAGTCACAATGTCCACCAAATGTTTCTTGATTCTATGATTTTTGGAAAGTGCCAGACAGTTGATCATAATTTTTGAGTAATAAAATTTGTATAGAAAAAACAACAGGAGATGTCAAACAATAGCCAGTGGGTTTATTCTTGTCTCAAGCTTTTCTGAGTGTGTTTTGGCCCAACACTTACAATTTGGTGGTTAATTATAGGAGAGTCTTTATGAAGCTTGTGTACCTGCTGTAGTTACTGTTTTGCACAAGTTCAATGAGAGCTGTGTTATGCATTTGTAGCATTTTTAGTTTTCCTTGTCTTATATACATTTTTTTAGGAATGAGCTAATTGGTGAACCCCTTCACCGCCATAAATATGAGTGCAAGAGTAATTACATGGTCAAAGATTCACAGTATATTGATTGCAGCTATAGGACTCATTTTCTAACCTTTATTTGTTGATCGTCAATTATGTTTTTAAGTTATTAGGATAGCTAATTTAAATTTTGTAAGCAAAGAACCATATAATGTACAAATTTAGTTGGCTGAGTGGGACTACCCAAGGATACCTTACTGTATGCTCGAGTTTTTTTTTAAGTTGTCCTTGTTTGTAAATCTTCCCCTCCCTCCTCTTCTGTTTCCAATGCACGTGGACTGTGGAAATATAACAAGAAAGCTATACTCACAAATTGCCAAGGGAAGTGCTGGTGAAATTAATTGGTAATCTTAGTCGAATTGAATTGTTGTCTCTATATATACACACATGAAACTGTTGGTGGTTATAAAATAGTTGGATGACAACGGCGACTTGTTATCTTCAATAAACATCCGACGATTACCTCTTCAAACAGAACATGATTAC